CACACACACACACACACACACACACACACACACACACACACACACACACGTGTCTGTCCTTGATTGTGAAATGTTGCTGTGTTATAAACTCACTCATTCCTGGAACATATTAAAACCACATTCCGATGCTGAACTGTGACAGAAAAAAACATGTTTATTAATTTGGCTGCCTTATCTATTCACTACTTTAATATGCTGCCTGAAAGAGTTGCTCTAAAGCAGAGGTTCCCAAACTTTTTATCTTCTGACTCACAAAATATCCATGCAACAACTTGTGACCCCAAATATTACTGGTCTGAGTACACAAACTCCATTAATAACCCTAAAAACACAGTTTTTTGATGATCTAAACAGCTTGTACACAAATATAAATACTTATTTTTACTTATTTTGTGTTTTTGTAATAATTATAGGAAAAATATTACCGCAGCAATTATTTTATTACCCTTTAAATTGATTTCTGGAGATTATCCAAGGTGCTTCATGACCCATAATTGGGTCCCAAGCCCAACTTTGGGAACCAAAGTGCAGTGGTTCCCAAACCTTTCAGCTTTTGACCCAGAAAATAACAGTAGCAGATGCCACCAACTATTTTTGGATGATAAACATTTATAACAGTCAACAAAATACAGGCATGGTAACAATATTTTTATGCTACATTTATCCATTTTAAATACACTAATCTCACTCCTTTATAACAACTAAGGCAAAAATGTCATTAATTCAGAAAATATTTTCAGGACCCCACCTTGAAGTTTTGGGACCCCACTTTGGGTCCCGACCCCAACTTTGGGAAACACTGCTCTAAAGCACTGAAACAGAATACTGAGAAGACATTAAACTTACTGAAACGACAGTGCTCAGAAAGCCTGATGATTCTCAGCTACACACCAGAGTTTAGCTCAGTATCTTTAAAACTGTCTGAGTTATAGTCATTTTTGTGTTGATGTGGCGGCCATCTTGAATTGGATTGACTTCAAATATCAGTGAGTTTTTGATAAACTTTCCATGATTATCTTCTGACAGAAACCCTACAGGTTAGTTTAATAAATGACACTATTATGACATAATAAAATATAACAACTTATGTCATATTAAGGACATACACTGCAAAAAATGTCCACCTAACCAAGTTTTAAAATATATATCCAACCAAAAAAACTTTTTGATCTTGTTTTGAGACTGATTTACTAAACAAGAATTGAATGTGTAAGAATAATCATCTTGTTTTCAGAATGTGTAGTATTATTTGTCTTGTTAGCCAAG